CTTAATCCATATAGTGGCTTTTCGAGCCATGCAGGGGCTCCAATTCATAGATCCATACTCCTAAAGCTCAATCCTCACGTAAAGTTGCAAACTTTACGTATAACTAAAGAGATCAAGGCTCAAAACACTCTAGGGATAGGTTTAGGGACAAAAGGGCTTCACCAACTACTCATCTTCTGATGCTTTATGATATATTAGAGCATCCCAACACTAGATCTGAAGTGGCCACGACATATATAGGCCCCAAACTCGAATTGGGTCTCAAACAACCATAAAACCCCAAAATCTCATAACAAAAGTAGATCTAGATGCAAAGGAGGGAAGATAGCAGCTTATTACCTCCAAGATGAACACAAACCGAAGTAGATCCCAGATCTTTACCTCCCATTTGAAGCAACCTTCTTGATCTTCAAGTTCCTTTCCAAAGTTTCCTTCCTCCAAAGCTATTTCTCTCAAATGATGGAAGCTCACACGAATTCTAGGGTTTATAGGTTCTCTAGGATGATAAGGAGGCTGAGGGAGGGACATAACACCCATTATATAGGATACAACTCCCGGGATTAGGGTTTTCCTCGTTCAGACCAGACTCGCCGAGTCCCCATAGCCGACTTGCCGAGTCGGTCACTAACTCCCGAACCTGGATCCCGCTCGGACTCGCCGAGTTTCGCACTGGACTCGGTGAGTTGACCCTTTGACTTAGGGTTTTCTTTCCTTCTTGGCCTACCTGATTTTGGGGTGTTACAATACATATAGCAAAACCGATTAAACGATTAACATCTATGTCATAGATTTACTTCACCATCCTCGTTTCGAAGAAAATGATTATTACCAAGGGTTTAATGTTCAACAAGATGACTACGAAACTCTTGATCGAGAACCTTTTTTGGTAAAGGGACAAATGGACACCAAGAAAGAGATATAACGTGGAAACGATAATCCAACCATTTGGGAGAGTCAGTTGGGTAGAAAAATAGACAGGGACCATAAGTGTAACAAAATGTTACAATAAGGACCATATATGCAGCAAACAATCTCTTGTACTAAACACTACAACATTTGAGGGACCACATTGACTATCTATGTAAATAAGCATTCCAATAACAGTATAACCAACTATTTTACATATGGTTACACAAAACCTACCGAAAAAGTGATGCCACCTCATCGCAATATCAACTCTACTACCAACCCACTCACTCTTGGAAATGGTCATCACTCCACATCATTTTTTCTTTTTATTATTTTTATTTTTTTTAACATTAGAATAATTTAAAAAATAATTATCAAACAAAAACAAAAACATAAATATTAATTAAAAACATTTTACATTAACTTAAAAAATAGAAATTTAAAATCTACATTACTTAAAAAAACATAATCATTTAAAACCAAAATTATTAAAAAAACATAGAAAATATTACTCGTCGTTCTCCTCGTCGTCATCCTCATTGTCGTCATTGCCACAGTGTTGCTGGAATTACCTTTTCCATATATGCTCGGTCAAATCATAACGTAAATGGTGATGTGTTTCACTGTTTTGTATTTCCAAAAGTCGTGAGAAGTATGCAGGACTGCCGACTTGTATTACTGCAGGTGTGTTAAGAATATCTTTCGAATTATACATACAAATAGCTCTACCATCTTCTTCAATTATCATGTTATGTAAAATAACACAAGCAATCAACAGCTTCATCAATTTCGCCCTATCCCATGACCATGTCGGGTGTTTGATAATGTGTCACTTTTGTTTGAGGACCCCAAATGCCCGTTCCACATCCTTGATGGTTCTTGTGCTAACTTGAACAATTTTCATTTTTCATCGACCAGAAATGAGTATGACTTGACAAATGTAACGTACTCTGGATATATCCCATAACCGAGGAAACACCTATAATTATATTGATGTTTATTCACAATGAACGACATGTTTGGTGCTTTTCCTTGCAAAATATCATTAAATATCGGAGAGGCTCCAAGCACATTCAGGTCGTTGTTTGACCCCGCCATACCAAAGAATGCATGCTAAAACCATAGGTCATGTGAAGCAACAACCTCTAGTATAATAGTCGGCACGCCATGATCACCTCGTGTGAATTGACCTCGCCATATGCAATTTGTCTACTCCCAATGAGTATAATAAATGCTGTCAAGCATTCCTGGTAAGCCATGTTTAGCTTCATGTGCGGCATACAACTGTTTGATATCATTTCTAGTTGGAAGTTGCAAGTATATGTCACCATAAAGTTGTATGACATACTCACAAAAAAGATAAGCACATTCTCGCCCAGTTCTCTCAGATATTTTCAGATACTAATCTGATGCATCTATGGCTATGTCGTATGCCAATTGTCTAAGGGCTGCTGTGCATTTTTGTATTGTACTAAAACCACATTTACCTATTGCATCCCATCTCAATTGGAAAAACTCATAATTGTTTTCCAAATCTATAGCTATACGTAAAAATAAATTTATACTAATACGGAATCGGTCTTCAAATTTTGATAGGTTGTACAAACTATCAGGAGCAAAGTAATCACGTACCAAAAGCTCGTGTGTCGTCGGACGATTCCGATTTATCGAAATTCTATGCTTCCTGTAGGTATTTGAACTTTTGCCTCTTTGTTGCACCCTATTGTGTGCTGCGGACAACAACGTGTGCAACACCAAGTCATCTTCATCTGAGCTACCATCATCATCAGATGAAGAAGAAGAAATCAAATCCGCAAAATTATTCATATCTATGTTTGAAAGTGTGTTTGAAAGAGGGAACATAAATATGTTTGTGATGTGAATGTAAATGTGTATGTTTATATTGTGTATGTATTTATATGTGTGTTAAAGTTTCTGTTTGATTTTTTTTTTTACGTCTGTAACGGTCAAAGGGAGAAAAAAGGAAAGGTAAAAAATGGTTAACCAATCACGTCTTTCGTCTTCGTCCGTAGCCGCACCCTCGCCACAAGGCACCTACGCACATCTGGGACGCTATTCACATGTAGGTGGCCTTGCCATGTAGGAACTACGTGTAGCCAAATCCAACCCATACTGCAAAGCCTTTTTTTTTAACGGCAAAGATAAAACATTCATTAAAGATAGCCAGCAGAGAGTTGAACAAACACAATACATACAGATAGTGTATTAAGGAGAGAGACGTAGATAAAATAGCCTAGACAAAGCTAATATTGATCTAGGAATTTGAATTGGAAACCGAAACCATGATGAAACTAGAATTCCCTAAGTGAAACCAAGTATGTTTGAGGCATCGTCGATCTTTGAATGAAGCAACACCAACATGGTAGTACGGCACTACGGGTAAAATAGTTGTGCTTCAGATCTTTAATATAGAGTCTCCATAATAGGAACCTTTGTCACCGTTGGGGATACATACTACTCCTCTAGAAAGACTAAATGCTACCAAAAATTATTTTCCATGAGGATTCTCTAAGCGCGCATAGTCGAAAGCTTATGAAAATTATGCAGCTGCATCCAACATCCGATAAGTGTCCAATTGAGAGTCCGTACGAAAAGAAACAAACAGAAAAAGAGAAAAACAAGTCAAGATAAAATTTCACCCCTCTCAATTTTGTAACCCCACACACTAGAAAGAAACATGAAAGAATGCCAAGCATAGCGGTTGTATTCCTAGTGTAGTGGTATCATAGTGCCCTCCCATGCCGCAAAGCCTAATCTATAATTTAAGCAACATTCTAAATAATTCAAATCTAATTCGATTTTTTTTTCTACTACATATTTTTTCGAAAAGGACATTAATGTAAATAAATCGAAAGTAGACTGCAATTATATAATGAAACAGGCTGAAGCCAGTTAGCGGGAGCCAGCGTGGATTCTTGGCACTATAAATACGAAGGAAGCTGAGGAGCACCAAATCCCTACTACCAAAAAAAACAGCTGGCCCTCTTCCATATCTCTCTCTTTCCTGTTCCTGTTGTAAAACACTAAAGAAATTGAAGATTCTGAGAAGAAAATTCGACATTCTTTGAAATCGCAGACATAGGTTAACGATTCTTCTAAAAAATTCGTCTTTAGGGCTTGCAGATCGGACAACGATGACTACGCCTCTTTGATTGCATAAACAAACATCGTTTTCCATGTTTGATTCACTCATTCATTCATTGTACACGTGTTCTCGATCCTTGTTAGCTTAGAAAAGGTACGTATGCAATTCTCATGTATTTCTCTCTACTTCTATCGTTTTCCTTGTTCTGATCTGCGTGTTTTATTTTTCTAAATCTATATCTAGAAAGTAAAACTTGCTGAATTTGTAGACTTTGTCGGAACTGGAGGTTTTTGTATGAATTTGATGTTTGATTTTGAATGAAAAGCGACTCGAGTTGTGGTTTCTGTGGTTTGAATGTTTCAGATCTGTTGGCGCAAATGGTTTCTCGTGGTTCGAACTTATCTTATTGTTCCTATCGCTGTAAAATATCTCGTGTTCCTTTGAAATTAACATATGCATCATATGATTTATTTAAAAATTTTCTCTCTTCCTGAAATTTTGCTCGCCTCTCGTTTTTTTTTTTTTTTCTGTTTAATAACCTACCGTGTTGGTGTTAGTTGAAGAAACTTCGAAGAAGGTAAAGAGGAACCGGTTTTTGTCTCATTAGTTATGGGTGGGGAAAGTAGGTATTCTGGTAATCAATAAATGATGCTCTTCCGTAAGCTAAAGGAAGTATTGTCATTTCAATTTTTTTTTGGATGCCTTTCATTTATGAAGAGTCGGTTTAGCACGTAGACACAATTAAATAATTCACTTTATCACAGATCTCTATACACTTTCAGCTTATCATTGAAGCTTTTTAATGAATAGCTCATAACTCCTTTCTTCTCGCATCAAAAGAACTACATCTGATTATCTATCTTCCTATAACTATGGTGTTTCTCTTCTGATGCAGGGATATACAATACGATTCCCCTTTGGTTGGCTTTGATTGTACATAACTCCAACTACAACAAACATAATCCAGCTTTTGAATTCTATAATCATGGTTGCTACAGCTGCAACTGCATCACTGTTTCCTGTTTCTTCCCCACAACCTAATGGAGCCAAGACATCTGGTAAGCTTGGAGGTGTAGCTGATAATCTTGATGTACGTGGAATCAAGACAAAATCTGTAAATTCAGGAAGCAATGGTATGCAAGTGAAAGCTAACGCACAAGCACCTACAGAAGTAAATGGAAGCAGAGTTCGACTCATGAATGGCATCAAAACTGATGATAATCTCACATCACATGCTCCAAGAACATTCATCAACCAGTTACCTGATTGGAGCATGCTTCTTGCTGCAATCACTACAATCTTTTTAGCTGCAGAGAAACAATGGATGATGCTAGAATGGAAAACCAAAAGGCCAGACATGCTTGCTGACCTTGATCCTTTTGGTTTAGGGAGAATTGTTCAAGATGGGCTTGTGTTTAGACAAAATTTTTCCATTAGATCATATGAAATAGGAGCTGATCGAACTGCATCTATAGAAACACTTATGAATCATTTTCAGGTATTGTAAGTTGTAACCTTTTCATTATATTTAAAGGTCAAATCTTTAATTTAATTTAATTTGATTATCTAATGTTGTTTTGTAGGAAACAGCTCTTAATCATGTAAAGACTGCAGGACTCTTGGGTGATGGATTTGGTTCAACACCAGAGATGTGTAAAAAGAATCTTTTTTGGGTTGTAACAAAGATGCAAGTCATGGTAGATCGTTATCCAACATGGTAATGTAATTATGTAACTCACTTTTCTTTTTTTAAAAATATAATAAAAGATTAATTATTATTATATTTTGACATTCTCAAATTCACTACAACAGGGGTGATGTTGTTCAAGTGGATACTTGGGTAGCTCCATCTGGGAAAAACGGTATGCGACGTGATTGGCTGCTTCGTGATTGGAAAACAGGCGAGATTTTAACAAGAGCTTCAAGGTTATTATAATTATAACTTATTAAATTAAACCTTCTTTTTTTTTTAAAGATAATTAAATTCAAAAACTTATATAAAAAAATCGTCTTATGTTGCAGTAATTGGGTTATGATGAATAAAGAAACAAGAAAGTTATCAAAAATTCCAGATGAAGTCCGGGGTGAAATAGAGCATTATTTTGTAGATGCTCCTCCAGTTGTGGAGGACGATAACGTAAAATTACCTAAACTTGAAGAGGCCAAAGCTGACTATGTTCGCACGGGTTTGACTGTAAGTCAACACTTAAAAAAAAAAAAAAAAACTATTTGTTTCAAAGTGTTTAACATTATTTTTTTTATATATGTAGCCAAGGTGGAGTGATTTGGATGTCAACCAACATGTTAACAATGTGAAGTATATCGGCTGGATCCTTGAGGTAACAAAAAAATAAACCACCTTTTCAACTTTTTTCACAAATTTGAAATAAATGAAAGTAGAGGGTTATAAATGAAAATATGTTGCTATTAATTCCAGAGTGCTCCAAAAGAAGTTGTGGAGAAGTATGAGCTTGCTAGCATGACTCTGGAGTATCGAAGAGAATGTAGGAAGGATAGTGAGTTGAAGTCGCTCACTTCGGTATTGGGAAATGGGAATGGAATTGGTGATTCCGGTTCCGGTTTTGTTGATTGCCAACATGTGCTCCAATTCCAGGGTGGTGGTGGTGGTGAGATTGTGAAAGGGAGGACCGGGTGGCGGCCTAAGTATGAGAATCAGATCAGGGGCATTGATGTCTTTTCTGGTGGAAAGGCATAATGCTGATATAGCATAGTTGTTGAGAATGACATTATTGCCCTTGGCTTGTGTATAAAGAATCAATCATCCTATCTCTATGCTGATGGAAATAACTTGCTTGTCGTGGCTTCTTATATATATATTTTTCTAATTTGTATGTTTTTTTTTTCTTCTCACCTATTTATTTAATTATTTTATTTATTTGGTTCAAGCTTTTCTGTTGTGTTTCCTTCCACAAGCTTTCTATATCTTAGTTAGATTATATAAATGATATTTAATACATGAGAATTAGTATTAAATTGAGACGTTGAATATAAAATTGCTGGTTTATCCTTCTTTATGAACAATTATATTTTTCACATGGGAGACAAGATTATGGATAGCAATTATAAGCAATAGGCATTACATTATTAGCCACCAAATATAGCATACCTGTGTATCTTTTAAAAATTAAAAAGAAAAAAAGAAAAATACTCAAGCTCACATCACATGCATTTGCACATGGATACCCCCTTAGCAACTTGGTTGTCATTTGTCAATCATTTGCCAAATTTGGTTTTGGATTATAAACTAAAATATACTTGTATTTTTTTTTTTTTTTTTTATCTTTTATAAAGTTATGTGCTTAAATAATAATGTATTATTTATTAAATCATCTATAATTATAATTATTCCCTAAAACCACTAAAGAGTATATGGCCAAGATATAGAAAGTCCTTTAATAGTAAATCAATCCAAAAAGACAGGAGCTGATGGCTATAAGCTAAAGTGAAAATATGTCTATCTCAATTCTCAACAACACCCGAATCGTTGATTGTTTAGTAATATATAATTGAAGTTTCTATTTTAAGCATTGTATATAGACTAAAAATGGCCATTTATTACTCTCTTCTCTAGTTCTCATTCCCATAACCATAGTTTTTAAATATACAACAAAATAATAGTCACCGTGAATTCAAGGTGTTTGTTTTGCTTCCCAAAAAGCTTCCTTTAAATAGAATATCTATTACCCGTATTCTATTTCAATCACATCACAACAAGTGTTTTAATGTAGACTAAAATGTTCGTAATTTTTTGTTGTAAACAAAGAACCGTAATGCGTTTTTTTTTTCTTTCAAAATGAAGCTTACGTATTTATTAATCATCGGGTAAATAACACAAAAAATACTAAGTTTACATTTGAAACTGTATAAATATATTCTTTTATTACATTTTAAACCATATAAATATATTTTTTTCGTTTAAAAACTATATTTTTCTATAAATACAAGGTTTTTATTTTTAATTTTATTTTTATTTTTAATTATTTGTTTTACATTTAAAACATAATGTTATGCATAAATATGCATTATAGTTATATTATGAGAACCAAACTAACCATAAGTTTCAAATAAGATGTAAAAAATTCATGGGTTGCAAACCTGACCTCTATGTGTTGATCGAGTACATGTCTCCAAACCTCCAAACTTATTTTAAAGTTGTGTAATTAATATAAAACTAGAGAAGAATCCCGCGTTACGGGTGTTGGAGTTGTGGGGTTTGGAGTGTATTTCATAATCTTTTATTAGAAAACATGAAATAGCAACAAACTCTACGATACTTTACATTTGGCTAAATATTAGAGCTCTAATGGAATCTTATACTAACACATTGTGTATTGTTATTGTAAACATCAAAGGTACCGATACAAAATGACAAATGAAGTTTAAATTTCAACATAAAAACAAATAATTTTGGTTCTCTTTTAGTCGGGCAATTAGCCCATCTTTGTTGACAATTGTACACAATATATACATTATTCTTAACCACAAAACCAACACAATAAACTCATAAATATAAAGAAAAATTTTCAAAACTAATTTAGGGTTGAAAGATACACTAACGTTAAAGAAAACTTGCCCCAGAGCAATTTCCATCTAATTTTTCGGTTTTACCCTCAGAAGATGGGGTCATATAGAAAATGCCATACCCATCATCCCACTGCAATACAAAATTGTTTAGCATCATTAACACCAAGAATCATGTAGCATTTGCTTTGCTGCAAATATTTGTACTCAGGAGCATTCCTCAAGATTAATTTCTCTGTAAAAAACATAAATGATAAATCTATTAGCCGAAATATACATTTGTTATATATTTGGATTTATGTATTGTATCTGTATATTTATTGTGTATTATCTATTCCTTATTTAGCTGACTTGTTAGTTAGACATTCATGTATAATGCCTCTGTACCTCTTGTATTTATTCATACGAGTATCAACGAATTAGGCATTGGAATCTCAATCACTTACATGGTATCAGAGCCACGGGCTCCTTACCGGAAAATTCCTTCTTCCCGACGCAGCCAAGGCTGTACCGCCCTACCCTATTCTCTCTTTTGTTTCTGATATCTCCCATCTTCTCTCAACGGGTGATAAATTTGATCAGAACCCTGTCAAAGCTTTCCATCCTGCTTACACAGTCACAAACATTCAAAACAAAATCCGAACTCTTAATGGTACCAAGGTTTCGTACTCATCATGGGTTCGACTGTTCAAGCTCCACGCCAAAGGCTACAAAGTTCTAGCCCACATTGACGGTACAGAACCTCCATTGAAGACTGACCCAACATATGCAACATGGTCAGAAATTGATGTTATTGTCTTACAATGGATTTACGGGACAATATCTGATGACCTCCTTGCTAAGGTTCTTGAACCGGATTCCACTGCATATGAAACGTGGTCCAAAGTTCAAAACATCTTCCTAAACAACAAAGGATCTCGTGCTGCTGCACTTGAACATGAATTCAACAATCTGACCCTCCGAGCCATGTCGTCTCTAGAAGCCTATTGTCAATGCCTTAAAGATTTGGCAAGTCAACTAAACGATGTTGATTGCCCAGTGAATGAGAACCGTCTGGTTCTTCAACTCGTTCGTGGTTTACCTTCTGAATTTGACATAGTAGGATCTTACCTGAATCAAACCCTACCTCCATGGGACAACCGTGTGTTCCATGCTTTAACTTGAAAATCAGCGTCAACGCGCTCGGGACTCCCACTCATCTGCCGAGATAGTCGCCACCATTGACCATGAACCCCCGACTAATCTAACTCCTCGTCGTGGCGATTCTTGAAACAAAAATCATCAACACCAGCAACGCAATCCGAATTGTCGACAACCAGGAAACAACACTTTCGTGTCTCACAACAGGACCCATAATCAGCCCCCTGGTTGCCAAACGACATCCCACTCAAATAACCATCGGGGTCCTCCATCTGGTCAAACTCGCCCTCCATGGGCCAACTATCTGCCACCATACTGGACTGCACCTTGGTGGGCTTCACCACCACCTTGCCCATATCTCACTTAACCTGGATGGGCTCCTCCTTGGGCCATCTCCTCTGCTCAACAATAATCTGTTGGATTAATGTCTAAGTCCATAACTATATTTGGTATGTACTTGACCCGACCCAACATGGTCCATTTGGGTTGCATGGCATCATGCACTTGGATAGACTAAATGAGAGAAATAAGAAACTTATGGTTATTAATATATTATAAGTTCTAATATATTAATAATAGGAATAATAATATTTAATTAGTATTGATCTAGAATTAATTATGTGATCAAAAGAAGACTAATTAAATATATGGTTGATTGTGTAAATCATCCATAACTTATATATTGGGCCAAAGCTCCATGGATAATTAAGTTGGGTTAAACCCATAGGATGCTCCATGGAGGTTACATAACCCATGGGTCATGGAAATGAAAGGTCATGACAATTAGGGTGTAACCCTAATTGTAACACACTATATAAGCATCATATTATTCACCAAAATCGGCCACTAGTGTGTGTTAACGAAGGGCTAGCCGATTTTATGAAGTGTGGATTTCTCTCTAAGTTATTCCAAGAGCATTTGATGTTGTGTGAGCCATTTGAGGTGTCACATTTAAGGCACTAGGCACTCAAGCCCCATGGAGTCAAGCTACACTACAAGAGGTATGTATTTTATCTATATTATTACCCAAGTATCTATGATTGTATGCTAGATAGGGTAATAACTTAGAATATTAGTATTTGCATGTATATTAGAGAAAACATAGATCCAAGGTATTTAGGGTTGCATGTACAACATAGGAGTGTTAGAATGCTCAAAACCCAACAGTGGTATCAGAGCCTAGGCTTGTTTTCCTGTATACTTGATGCAATTGCTGAAAAATCAAAGTTTTTGTGCTGTCTGGGCAGTGGACTCGCCGAGTTCCCTCATGGATTCGACGAGTCCAAGGCAAAACTCATCCAACTCGACGAGTTGGTTCATGCACTCGACGAGTTGGACCCCTTGACAGCTTATCTTCGAGTTTTGGTGCTGGAATTGGTCTAGAATCATTATCTTAAACTGTTTTGGACTTATAAAATCTATTTTTTGATGTGATAATGATTATAGTAAACCAATTTCAGAGTTGTTATCAAAATTTCAAGTTTTATATGGTTAATTTTATGATTCTTGAAATTGTTGATATGCATGTTCTTGAAATTTGAGTTTTGATGATCATAGGAGTTATTTGTAACCTTCTTGGTAGTTTAATTCTTGATCATTATGTGTTTTAATGGAGTCCATAACTTGTACTTAAGTTATAAATAACCAAAAGTCACAAGTTATTAAATCCATTAAAAGAACACAATGGTTACATAAAATGAAAAGTCACTCATTTTAATAAGCCATTAAACCATAAGTTATGAGAAAAGAAAAACTTCCATAAGTTATGAATTATGAAGAGTCACTTTCTTAATTAGTTTAAAGTCTTCCATAACTTGTCCTCAAGTTATGGAACTTGAAGAGTTTTTAATCAACACTACTTTAAACACATAAGTTATGGAATTGAAAAGTTTTGAAAGTTATAAAACTTGCCCTCAAGTTTTGGAATTTGAAAAGGTTTCTTTTATGAATACTTTAATTCCAAATTAAGCCCTTATAATTTGAAAGAATTAAATTTCAACCCTTATACTATTATAATATTATAAGTTAATAATATGTATATATGTATAAGAGCAAGTCGTTTTACCATTAGTAGGCCTCATTCACGAAGCCGGTTTATAAGGGGGGTATAAGGTTGTTGCATATAAATTGGCAACTTAATGGGTGTCCGCTCTCACCCACCGCTTCCTTGATCGGTGGAGGGTCGTTAGCCGAAAAAAGGTAGGATAAGAACTATAATTCTCCCTTCATTAAAACTATTAATGATAAATACTAAGTAACTAAACACTTATAAATTCCCAATCTTAGTTACTTAGGAAAATGTGAATAAGGTGCTAATCCATGAAATTACACTTTGCAC